GGAAAGACAGAGGACGACGTAGGCGACGACGACGACGACGCGGGAGGAGGGAGGACGGCGACGACGACGACGACGCCGACGACGCAAGAGCGCGCGCGCGCCGCTTTTGTTGAAAATCCGGGTTTTTGTAGGTTTTTTGGACACGCGATTTCGAAATCCTTACGAAACCGATGGGTTTTGAAGGATTTCGGCATACGCGCGCGACGACGCGCGCGTCTGCACTTCGTTAATGTTTTTCCAGAGGACTCTCGCGACGGCACACGCGCAAGGGCGTTGGACAGATTTCGACATGCGCGCGCGCGAAGTCCGTTTGGTAGCATTTTGTGAAAATTGTGAAAAACCTATGGTTTTTCTTAAGATTTCGCAAGAGCTCGCGCGTCAGTTTTTTAAGCAAATCAGTGTTGCGAAACCCTTTGTTTTTGTATGTTTTTTTTGGAAGCTCGATTGTGAAATCTTTCCGGCACCGAAGGTTTTTGAGGGATTTCGGCATGCGCGCGCGACGACGCGCGCGTGTGCACTTCGTCGATTTTTTTTGCAAGGGATTCGCGAAAAAGTGTTATGTTAGAACAAACAATGTCACCGCATAGTGTTTTTTACAAGGGAACCTCAGAGGGGGGGATGCCGGCCGGCCTGGGATAGTGTAAATCATATTTAGGATGGACATGTGGTCATAATCATATGTGATTTACATACCCGAAAGGGGGATTGATGACGCCGGGGGTGGGGGGGGGAAAACCTTGTTTTTAGAAAGGAGACTCTATGTGGTCCAATCGGCGTCAAGCTATAGATATGTGTTGCGCCTTGTTGGGTGCAGTCGACGTGAAACAATTTGTGTGATGCAAGTTATGTGGTGCAAGATATGGGTGCACAGCACTGCAACGCAATGCAATGCACAACAATGCAAAGCATTGCACATTAATGCAAATCGCGAAATCAATACACGTCAATGCAATTCAATCTAAATCAATGCACATTGATGCAAACACTTCGACGCAATGCAAAGCAACGCAACGCAATGCAACGCAATGCAACGCAATGCAACGCAATGCAACGCAAAGCACTGTAACGCAATGCAGAGCAATGCAACGCAGCGCAATGCAACTGAATGCAACATGCAACTCAATGCGCCGTAATGCAACTCAGTGCACAGCAATGCACAGCAATGCAAAGCACGGCGGAGCAATACAAAGCAATGCAACGTAATGCGATTTCCATGCGATTGCAATGCGATTGCACTGCAATGCGATTGCACTGGAGTGCAATACGATTGCACTGGAGTGCAATGCGATTGCAATGCACTGCGATTGCAATGCAACGGGGGTGGGTGTGTGCAACTGGGCGGCGGCGACTGGTGGGAATGGGGCCGCAAACGGGGCCGCAAACGGGCCTTTCCAATCGATTGCAATCGATTGGATTGCAATCGATTGCATTGCAACGTTTCGACTGCAACGTGGGGGTGCATCGGGGCGGCGGCGACGGGGCGGCGACGGGTCGCGTCGACGGGGGGAAGCGACGGCGACCACAAGGCGGCGGACCCGACAACGGAGCCCAGACGACGGGCGGCGACGAGTCGGCGACGGAGCGTCGACGGCGACCACAAGTCGGAGGACCCAACAACAGATCCCAGTGGACGGGCGGCGACGAGGCGGCGACGGGGCGGCGACGGCAACCACGAGGCGGCGGACCCGACAACGAAGCCCAGTTCCTTAGAAAAGAAACAAGGACTCCTAAGTGCAAGCGCTGCTAGGGGAATATGAATACTACCCTCCTCTCTCCCCGAAGATGGCTGGAGAGTGGCGCAATTCCCTCCGCGTATGTTTTTGTTGCAGGCTGGTGCGAGTTTTTTTTTGTTCTTCGGTGTTTTTCCAATCCCGTCGTTCTCGGTCCTGCCAACATGGTGCTACCGCTGCCGCGTGGGCCTTCTTGTAGGATCTGGGCTCTGCCCTCGTCGTTCAGAATGGCGCTTTGAGCCCCAACGCGGGCCACTTTTCTGGATCCGAGTCCTTCCTCATCGTTGTCGCCCCCCTCCATTCCCCTCCTCCGCATTCCCCTGGTCCTCCTGCTTCTCCCGCTGCTTCCATTCCAGTTCCTGTTGCTGCTGGTGGTGCTGCTGCTGCTGCTCCTCCTCCTCCTTCTTCCCCAACTCGTTATCCTCCTGCTCCTCCTGCTCCTGCTCCTGCTCCTCCTCCTCCTCCTTCAGCCCCGAGGGTGGGGGCCTGGCACCTGTTCTCATGGTGTCAGCGCCACACACTCCTCGGGGCACACTGTCAGTGTCAATTGCATGCGGCGGCTGGGGGCAGATAGCCCGGCTTTCGTCGTTCTTGCACCAGCCACGTGGCACTTTGCCCGTGGCAGCGGCGCGTTAGCTGCGCCCGTGACCTGGAGATGGGTACCAGGCACGGGGAGTGTGGATTTGGTTGAGAGGCGGGCCATGTGGTCCGTAAGTCCCTTGGGACCTTGTGTCCGCTCACCCTGGGGTACAAACCCAGTTGCGCATGCCATCCGATTCGGCAGGGGTGACGGTCGGGCTGTGACGCGGTGAACCGGCTGTCCCCCTACGCACCACGCCGTCTCGGTTGGGCAGCGAATCGTTGAGCGACGAGGTATCTGCCTTTCCCCTGACTGTCGGTGCTGGCGTCTGCGGGCCCGTTCCTCCTGTCTGGGAGGCCGAAGGTGATGGTTGAGCCTCGCTCGCCGTTCATTTCTTGGGTCTATGACACTCATGACACGCCTCCTCCTCCTCCTCCTCCACCTCTTCCTCCTCCTCCACCTCCCCCTTTTGTGTACGCAACTGTCCTTTTCCGATTGCGCATAGCACGATCGGGTCTTTTTGGGGTCTCATGTCCGCTATGAGACGCGTCCGTGGATAGATAATTAATCAATGCAATGGGAAAGGTTGGAGCCCGTTTCTTTATTGCTTGGGGCATGACGGGCGTCATGGCCCCCGCTCCCCCCCCCCGCCCTATGACGTAACGCTCCCCCCCCAGTGCGTTCCGGGCAGTGCCGCCGTGCGCATTGGGATCCGCGTAGGAATCTGCATAGGTGTCTGCTCCGCAGGCGTCGTCGTCGTCGTCGTCGTCGTCGTCGTCGTCGTCGTCGTCGTCCGTCGTCGTCGCTCGTGGTTCGTCGCTCGTCGCTCATCGTCGTCGTGCGCGCGGACGCGGCTGGAGCATGTTTTTAAGTCCGGGCCGATGACGGCAATCATCTAGGGGGGGGGGGGGTCGATGACGTCACGTTTCGCGCCGGCGGCGTTTGGGAATGCTTAGGAATGACGGAGGACGGGTAGCACGAACATGTAGGTGGCGATATGCACCACAACGCCTGTGTACATCACAGTGCCCGCGTGCACCACAGCGCCTGTGTACACCACGCCGCCGATGTACACCACAGCAGCCGCGTGCAACACGGCGTCAGTTTGGGCCATCGTGCCCGCGGGCACAGCAGCTCCTGTGTACACCACAGCGCCTCCGTACAACACATCAGCCGTGCGCAACACAGCACCAGTGTACACCACAATGCCTGCGTGCATTGCAGTGCGTGTGTGCGCCACGGCGCGTGTGTGCACCGCATCAGACGTGTGCAACACAGCACCATTGTTGTGTATAGAATTTCACAAAGGGATCCTTGTGACAAAATGGAGCGCGTGTGGATTCCAGAAAAAACAATGGAAAACAAATCCTCATGGACGAAGGAGCGCCGCTGGAATCGACGAGTCCCCCCGAGTCCGCCCGCATCACCCTAACTTTCATTTACGTCCAGGAGGCTCCAGTTAAACTGGCCGTCCGAGAACCAACTGGACCGATTCAATCGACCATTCTGCGGTGCACGCTGAGATGCGCACGTGCGTTGTAACGCCAAGCCGCACGACAGGAGGTACGAAGGGGGAATTGGAAGAGGAGGAGGAGGAGGAGGAGGAGGAGGAGGAGGAGGAGGAGGAGGAGGAGGAGGAGGAGGAGGAGGAGGAGGAGGAGGAGGAGGAGGAGGAGGAGGATGAGGAGAGGAGGATGAGGATGAGGATGAGGATGAGGAGGAGGAGGAGGAGGTGAGGAGGAGGTGAGGATGAGGCAGGAGGAGGAGGAGGAGGAGGTGGAGGAGGAGGTGGAGGAGGAGGAGGAGGGAGGAGGGAAAAACGTCGCATTCGATTCTCAGAACTTTCCTGGCGTGGCGTTTAGTTGTCAACAGCAGATCCTGTCGTACATGCTCCTTCTACCTGTCCTATGCACGCTTCGTTGCACGCGGGTGCAGTGGTGTAGACAGGCGCTGTGGCGTGCGCAGGCGCTGCGGTGCACGCGAGCACAGTGGTGTACATAGGCGTTGTGTTGCACATGGGTGCTGCGGTGTATGTACACCAGCGCTGTAGTGCTCCCAAGTACTGTGGTATACACAGGCGGTGCGTTGCACGCGGCTGTTGCGGTGTACGCAGGCGCTGTGGTGCTCACGCGCGGTGTGGTGCACGCGAGCGTTGTGGTGTACACAGGCGCAATGGGCAGATCGCCATACATGCTGCTCGCGTCGTCGTCGTCGTTCGTCGCTCGTCGCTCGTCGCGTCGTGCGCGCGGGCGCCGCTGTGGTGCCGGAGCCACACGGCAGGGGGGGGCGTCACGTCATACCCCCCCCGCCTCCTCCCCCCCATGACGCCCGTCATCGCCGAACATAAAGAAACGCGCTCTTGGGTGGGAGGAGTAGGATGCTAGGTATGGTTTGCCTCCCCCCTCTGCTCTTCCGCCCTCCCCCCTCCCCCCAGAAAATGCTCCCGATCCTTTTGGAAGTCGACCGCCCCCGCGAGGCACCCCGCCCCTCTCTCCCCCCCGCTTTCGCCCGCCGCCGTCGCCGTCGGTTTCGTCGGCGTCGTCGGCCTCCTCGTCGCTGCTGTCGTCCGACGCGCCTCCGCGCGCGAGGGGAAGGGGTCCAGCGTCGATCCGAGAACAGTCCGCGCGGACCTCCGACAGTCTATGCTTTTGCCGACTTTTCTTCTTCTACTCCCGTGGCTGCTGGCCGAGGTCTTCCGCCCCTAGTGTTCGTCAAGACCCAGATCGCGGCGACGAGCTCTGCGACCGGCACGCCCTGCGACTCTATCAAGGCGCGCGCGCGCGTTCCGCCCCTGCACTGGTCCAGGACCGCCGGCCCCCTCCTGTCCGAGCAGGGAGGAGAGAGGCGGGGTAGGGGGTAGGGGGGAGGAGGGGGAGAGGACGGAGGAGGGGGGGAGGTGGTGGGGAAGGTGGGAAGGGAGGGGGGGACGGGGAGGATGGGGAGGGAGGGGGAGGAGGGGAAGCAGGAGCAGGTTGAACAGGATGAGGAGGAGCACTCCCACGCAACAGCTGTGCAGCTTGAGTCAGTACAACTGTGTCAGTACAACGCAAAAGGAGGAAGAGGAGGAGGAGGAAGAGGAGGAGGAGGAGGAGGAGGAGGAGGAGGAGGAGGAGGAGAAGCAGGGGCAGGAGGACCAGTGTGGACCAAAAACGCATCCACGATGTTGCAATAAGCCCTCTTTCTCTTCAGTAACCTCTCCATGGGTCTCTACAATAATTAGTTTTCATTGCGGGAAGTGGTCCATGAGAGGACAACCGTTTGAGAAACTTCAATCGTGCCCAAACACCAAAGTTGGGATTTCAAAGCCGCGGATCAACGTGAATTTTGCGTCCTGACAGTCTTAATTCGTGCCATGACACCGGTCCTGGGACATCAATGCCGCGAATAAACGTGCTTGTCGCGCCCGGACAATCGAAAATCGTTTCAGAACACATCCCGGGACTTCCACCATACACAAACCCTTACACTGTTCCAGCATTTGTAGACGAATGTGCACGGCGCCAGGGCGAGAGTGACATTTCGACAAGGAGTCGCCCTCCAGATGTGAAGCTGCTGCGAACTTTTAAGACCAATATGCGTGGGGCCAAGGCGAGAGCCACATTTTGAAAAGGAGCCGTCATCCATATTTGAAGCTGGTGCACACTTTTCAAACATGTGCGCGGCGCTCAGGCGAGAGCTACATTTTGAAAACCCTCCGCCCTCCATCCCTGAAGCTGTCGCAAATTCCAGGCTTCAGGATCATGAATGGTGAGGAATTCTGAGGCGAAGCGCCCGCCCCGCCCTACCAACACGTCTGGGGTGCGACAGGGGGGAAGCATTTATAAGGAACATGGATGGATGAGGAGGAGGAGGAGGAGGAGGAGGAGGAGGAGGAGGAGGTTTTTTTTTGACGTCAGACGACACACAACACACAAACACACAACATCAAGAGAAAAAAGGGGTCTCCGTTTAGCACTCTGGCTCCGTGAGAGCCCATGGCCCGACCTCGACTGTGACCAGGTCGCGCTTGGGATTGCGGCCATCTTATGCGATTCCAGGAGTGCATCCTGCCCTGGGCCCCCGTTCGGGGGATGGGGTGGCACTCCTGGCGGAGACCTCGCACTTGACCTCCGCTGGTGTAATACTTGCAGCGAAGGCAAACAAAAATGAACGAGTGATCGTTGGCGTCCAGGAACAGCATCGAGTGGCCCAGCTCCAAAAACTTCGGAGCTTCGAAACCACGGATCCCGACCCCAGGACCACCACGGCAAACACCAGGAGAAGGGCGGAGGGCGGCCCTGGACCCACGGAAACAACGCTCACACTGCCAGAACTTACCCTGCCAACTCCACACATGCCCGTCAACTGCCGGCTTTGCTGGAACGGGCGTCTTGACAAAAACGGCTCGCGACAGGTTGAGCCTCGGACAGAGCGGCAGCATCTTTCTTGCCAGCTTGCAGGCAAGCTTGGACAAGCTGGCGGTCAAGTATCTCGCATTCTTGAGGCGAGGGGCATGGGTGTCTGGATGCGGCACTCTTGGCCAAGGCATCCGCAGCATCGTTACCTAGCTTGTCACACTTCAATTCGTCCGACATATCAGGTCCTCTGGAGCGTGCCTTTTGACTTTCTTGACTGAGACAAACCCCGTGGGCTGCAAAGTTAGGAAACTGCCACTGTACGGTCATTTGTATGACAACTGCTCCTTCTGCGGCAAATAAAACTGACGGACCACGTTTAGGCAATTCGAAAAACCTCTGGAATCAGGAATCGCGAATTGCTCTGCAGCACAGATGGCTAAACATTCGGCAGCCTGGGGCGTCTGAGGGTTCGGGGCCCAGACAGGGGCCGAAACATGTCCACAAACATTTTCGATCGGAGTCGTAGCAAATAAACCCCCATCCCCTCCTGGACAGTTCGGGAATCACATGCCTATGACAGCAACCGTCGAAATGGAAATCGCCCTGAGCCCTGAACCCGTCGATGCCCACCACCTCGAAGCCGCCCTCGGTCAGCGGCCTGTGGAAAGTGTCACCTGGATGTTCAAATATGCTTCGGGTGAACAGGAGTCGCTCGGGTGGGTCCTGGAAGTCGATGTCGGACATATTCGGGCGGTTATCTCTGAGCTTCGCAAGGATATCTTCACGCCCCTCTTCACATGATGGGCAGAAGTAAAGTCTGTGCACCAGCGTGTCTGGGGGCAGCTCTGCACAGCTCACATAATAAGTCTTCCTGCTGGTCGCCTCTCTCCTTTGTCACTTGTTTTTGTCCATGTGCGCCCGCAGTGCATGGCTTTGATGCAGCCTTTTTGCAGGGGAGTGAAGCTGGGTGAATTTAGCTGAGCCCTGACCTGGTCGTAGCACAATCGCCGCACTTCTGGCAGCGGGCTCGACGCGCTGGACCTCTCCAGCGCCCTCGACACAGCAGCGTGCAGGGCTCGCTTGATGAAAGCTGGGCTACAGAGGGTCATCTGGACAACGACCCCGAAATCGTCTATCAGCTCGGTGAAAGATCGCATGCGCCAACCTATCCCCTGGAAGGGCACCTTCGCGGCTGACAGAGGCCCCGACGCCCTTCTCCAAGAACCTGCATCAGGATTGCCTTCGAAAGCCTCCTGCCAACCATCTCGAAGTTCCTGGAAAGACAAACAGAAAGGGTACGATCGGGTCAAAGCCGCCCAGTTTTCCTTGCAACAGCGAACGATAGGACTTACAGCGGCGTACCAAACCGGGTCCCTCTCCAGGATGAGGAGGGAGGTGAGGGATCTCTGACCTGCACTTGGCTGGCAGGTCGCACCAAAAGATCTCCTTGCCAACTCGAGCTCGTGATTCGAAAAACCTCGCACTTCACTCCCGTGGACCAGCCCATGCAGCGGCCCAGATGCGAAAACCATCCTCGTGAAGCGGCCCAGGACCTTTTGTTCCCTCTCAGACGTCTGACGTTCTTCTGGAGCTTTCTGAGACGGACCTGGAACTTCTTTGATCTCCCACCTGATCTAAAAGCGCGGCCGCAGGCATGGTCGATGCCTAGGCTCATAGCAGATCTGCACGCTCCGCCCGCTAGGTCCCCCAGCGCGGCTCGGATGCGCGCTGCATGTCGAGGAGGGGATGCAACCGAAGATGCCTTCTCCATTGAGACCTGCGCGTGCAAGTCCTTCAGTATAATATCGTGTATGATGTGCTGGTCCTCGACTATGCCCTCATATGCGAGCGATTCACTCCCCGTAGCACGGATCCCATAATCATCAATGTAAACGTCCAGCCTAACATTGCGAGGCAGCGGAGCCTTGTAGATGCTGACGACGATGAAAGCCCGAATCAGCGTGGTAGCCCTGGAACAACCAGCTATAACCCCATTACTAGCATAGTAAGGCCCAGTGGCGAGGCCCCCCATGGAAAGGCAACGGGGACAGCGGTAAAACGCAACAGCGAGACGGGCGATGCGAAGGGGAAAGCAAACTTCCGAGCACCTCTGCAATAGAACATCTAGCGGAATGAGCTCGTAAAATTCTAGACGCTTCGTGTATCCCCACCAGCCATTTTGGCTGCGACTGGCTCGCCCTGAGGGCTGTCCTCTCAGACTCCCTGGGTCGCAGCTTGCACGACCTCTCAGGTTGCTGACCTTTCAGACTCCCTGGGATTGCACGTCCGCCTGGCCTCTCAGACGCCCTGGGTTGCTGCCCCCCCCCGCCGCCTGATCCGCGGCCCCCGCGCGCGCCCGGGAATTTAGTCGCGGCCGCAGCCCGACCGTGACTGCTCGCCGCCGGCGCTTCCGCCTGCGGCTGTAAAAAAGAATATCCCCACCAGCCCGTCCAGAAACGACGCCCAGGCGAGTAGAGGGTCGTCCTGAGGGGCTTTTCGGCGTCTTGGGTGTCTCGGGGGGGCCTCTGTGGGCGGTTCGGGATCCTCTTTGGGGCCTCCTGGGGGCCTCTTGGGGCCTCTTGGGGCCATCTTGGGGCCTTTGGGGGCCTCCTGGGCGCTTCTTGGGGCCTCCTGGGCGCTTCTTGGGGCCTCTTGGGGGTCTCTTGGGGGCCTCCTGGGGGCCTCTTGGGGGGCCTCGGAGCCATCTTGGAGGAGATCGATCAACGAAGGGGGGGTCCCTAATTCCAGTCCCCCCCTCAGGAGCCACGATCCTCGTGAGGGGTGTCGAATTTTAGCCCTCCCAGGGGTCGTTCTTGGACGCTCTAACTACCCGCGGCCCTCCCTGTCCAGGTCAGTGGGGAGGGGGTAGGGGGAGGGGTAAACCCCTCCCCGAAGGGGAAGAAGGAGGGGTGGAAGAGGAAACTCGTTAAACCACCGACGCCCAGAGGGCTGGTGGGATTTGAATAGATCCCAAAGAGGCGTAACAGCAGCGTCTCCAGAAGATTTCGCACTCTCCGCTCTGAAGGCCTGGCGCCAAACCACGTCGGATGCCGATGCGAAGCTGCTGCCCGCCAAGTAGTCTCTCTCAAAAGGGGCGTTCCACTTGGATGCGAAGCCCCTGCGGCAGCGCCCCCAGAGGCGGTGGCAGGATACAAAGATGCCTATCGGTCGGAACCCGCCCGCTGGTTTGGCCTGCATGGCCGTCGCAATCACTTGCAGTTGCTTCGGCACTCGACCTGACCAAGCTGAGCACCTCGAGGCATTGGTCGCTCAGCGAAGCGTAGTGACGCATGTGCAAACCATATTCTGAGGTCGCTGTGTGCTCCGCGTAGGTTTGGCTGGTACACCGAAGCTCCTCGGCCGACAAAGTCGTAGAGGCTCCAGCGGCTGGAAAGTGCCTGGCAACTGCGGCGCGTCCGAGCAAGCCTGCCAGGAA